AATTTGGTTGTTTTATGTGAGTGACAAAACAAGAAAACTTACTCACGAAATACTTAATGGGTACAAAACTAAACTAGCTAACTCATATTGAGAAGCAAACTTTAGAATGTGAATTAATGAAGGATACATTGTACATTAAATCTTTTCTCATTCAAATGTTCTTTAATTACATAACAAAAGAAACACCTTATGCACAATTAATGTGCCTTTAGATTGAATACGAGATTTAAACATATCACAATGTACTTCCTTTTGTTCCATTTAACTTAATTGAAACAATAACCAAAAGATATATTATTTCATCAAATATCCTTAGTGGAACTTCCTACATTATCCATCAACCTTATGTCCCAATAGTAACCAAATATTGTTCTATAAGCATATAAAACCTATAGAAAAATATATAATGACAAATGACTTAAGGTAAGCAGATGAAATTTTTTTTGAACAATACCAAAACACTCACACGTAAATTTATGTCATACATAAATATGGGTAAATAGACCAAATGGGGACACGTGGCAAGACACCATAGTGCAACATTAATCTCGTCTATGGACAGAAAATTAACTGCAGTGGTAATCTTGTTGTAATGATCAAACATTGATAATAAGTTCTGTCAAACAAAAGTCTATCTTTGGACTGACTAATGCTCACATGAACAATCCAAATAATTATCACTTACTTATCATCACATGTGTGTTGTTATTTTGCCAAATTGTGTCTACCTATGGGCTGATCACAAAACGCATAAATAATTCCACACGACATCTATGTAATTTCAATAAAGTCGCTCTCCACACACAGAGGTTGCTATGACAACATGATGTTTTGATTGACTAAATTGAAAATTACTAGACCAATTGAGTAAAAGCCATATGAGTTGTTCTTATCACCATATGCACGTTATTATTCGGTCAACCTGTGTCTACCTATGGGCCGAGCACGGATCACATGAACAACTTCACACAACATTAAAATGATTTTCAATAAAGTCATTCTATGTGCACAGAGGTTGCTATGGCAACATGATACTTTGATTGACTAAATTAAAAATCACAACATCATAGAAAAGTGACCGAGAATTTCTCTATTACTCAATTGAACAACGTTAAATCGTCGCCCCAGGAAAACTTTGGATATAAAGTTCATGATTAAAATAAATTTAATTCCAACTTTATTTAGATTGAAAGCCCATATAACCAAGTAGGCTTAAAATCTAATTTCAATAAGCTTAAATCCAAATAAACTTTCTTTTGAATTGACGACCCACTATTACCAAATTGGGCTAAAATTCAATCCATTTACATCCAAAAAATATGTTTAAGCATATATAAACTCAACATGACATTATTTTGGAATTTAAACATAAACCAAATTAAACACACAAGTCATGAAAAAACTTAATATGTTACTCATAATTGACTAAAAAAAATCCTCTTGGATTATATATGAAGATTTTCAATATAAATCCTATACTTATGAAACAATTAGCCCAGCGTTCCGGAAACACATTATGAGTCTACCACAAGGTCAAACTCAAACTTCAGACCTTATAAATATTTTCAGATACCAAGAAAAAGATAATCTCAAAATCTAATTTTTAATTTGGCGAAAAAAGACTTTATATAAACTTGTGTCCATTAGCTTTATTTAAGTTTAAAGTCCATAAAACCAAATTAGACTTTAAATTCAACTTTATATAGACAAAGATTTGTATGACCAAATTAGTCTTAACCTTAAGTAATGTGAATTAAGTTCACAAAACATAAAACAAAGTGTAAATATCTAGATTTTAAGCTAGAAACAAACTTTGTTATTTTGAGCCGAATTAGACGAAAACCAAATGTCAACCTAAGCTCAAATACATTCACAATTTAGCCTCAAATCAAATATAACAAAATAAGACAAAATAAAGATCCACTATTTTATTTTATCCTCTTTAGTGAAAGACCATAAAACTTAGTCTCTTATGTTGATTTAAAACCTCATAAACAACCATAATAAATTTTAAATCAACCTTTAGATGGATAACTCCATAGATCCCGAAAACATACAAGTAACAATATCAATCTTTACGGTCACAAAATTTACTAAGAATTAGAATACCATAGTCAAATAAGGGTAACTTTATCTCAAGACATCATAAGTCCATTAATATTTCATCTTTGGACAAAATATTAACTTGTAATTAATATCTTAGCGTAGGGATGAAACATTGACAATAATAACATATCAAACAATAAATTTTCCTTTGGGCCGACTTATCGTTCATATGTACCAAATAATTGTCACACATTTATCACTACAATAACACACGTTATTCGAATGAGTATTCCCCAATTCAATTCAAATAAAAGCTTATAAATGAAATAAGACTTTTTTTTTTAATCCAGTCTAATAGACTTTAAATAATATGCCTCAGAATATCAGCCTTCAAAAAAAAAATTAATAGCATACATAGTTGTAGCATACATAGTTGCCTTAACACAATAGGCCATTAGTGATATAATCAAGCACAAATCTCATATCCAGATACACGCAATGCATGCAACGCATGGCTCAGGATTTTTTTTTTCTTTTTTATATATATATATACAATATATATACAATATAATAAATAGATCTAATGGCCCATTGATGATGAATATTATTTTAAAAAACCCAAATCAAGTGAATTGAAAATCACGAACAGAACAAAGCAACAGTGCACAAATCTGGATCCATTCTTCAAGAATACACGCCTAATAAATAAAAATTGGACACGAATTGCAAGGCGTGATCAAAAGGCAACACAACTTTTATTCTATTGTGTTCAATAATTCTAAGCAGCAACGTATAAACACATATACACAAATAATCCAGATCTAGCAGTCGATGACTGCTCTGATACCACTTGTAGGAATTTATAATCACATAATATAAATTCAATAACAATTATCCTAGAACATGCTTTAATTCTAGGAATATCAACATCGCTCTAGATCTGAAAGAGAAAGATTATTAGAAATACCTGGATCAAATGAGTTTCTTTTGCGGAACACGAACTCGATTGATTAATTAGATCAACTGGTATTATGGTCTTCCTCAACTAAATCGCCTTATTCCTCAGATGGGACCGTCGTCTTCTTTCAAATGGGGAGAAAAGAAAACTGTGTTTGATTTAGTGTATTGGGGACCATAACCAAGAGGGTCTATATATACTAATAGGGTAGGCCACCCATTATCACCTAACCATAGTAATATTAGGTATCCACTCATTAAGTCCATATCAATTTATGTAGCCCATGAACTCTACTTAATTTAGATCACTTAATTGAGTCCATTAATTAATTGAATAGCTAATATAATATAATTGTATATAATATGTTGCCCATAATTAGATTATACATAGGAAATAAAATATTTCCTAACACATGCCTCATCAGTTGTTGGATGATTTTATGTATGCCTGATGATCATTTCACCTATTAATTATTATTATCCTCTTGCAGATGCAAAATGCGATTCTGCAGCCTAGTCCTGATCAGTTTTCCCAAAATACGAAGAACAGCCTCCTGCAATGCCCGATTGTTTTACTCCAAACTTTGTTGAGTATCTTCACAGGACTTTCAACGGACCTCAGCTACCAGCAATCCAACGGGCGGCTATGCATACAGCCGCGCTGGCACATCGAATGGGGCGACAAAGAAGCAAGACCCATGGCCTTTCACCCTAGTTCAGGGGCCTCCCGGGACTGGAAAGACCCACACGGTTTGGGGAATGCTTAATGTGATCCATCTCGTCCAGTATCAGCACTACTACACTGCACTGCTAAAGAAACTGGCACCCGAAACCTACAAGCAGGCCAACAATGAGAACTCTTCTTCGTTGGATAATGTGGCTGTTGGGTCAATTGATGAGGTCCTCCAGAGCATGGATCAGAATCTATTCCGAACCCTTCCGAAGCTGTGCCCGAAGCCGAGGATGCTGGTTTGTGCTCCCTCGAACGCGGCAACTGACGAGCTGCTAGCGCGTGTTCTCGACCGTGGATTTATCGATGGGGAGATGAAGGTTTACCGGCCGGATGTTGCTCGGGTGGGCGTGGATTCCCAGAGCAGGGCAGCACAGGCGGTGTCTGTAGAACGAAGGACGGAGCAGCTTCTTATGAAGAGCCGTGATGAAGTTCACGGGTGGATGCACAGCCTGAGAATGCGCGAGAACCAATTGGCCCAGCAAATTGCTTGCCTTCATAGAGAGCTGAATGTTGCTGCCTTGAGCGGACGTGCTCAGGGGTCGGTGGGTGTGGACCCAGATGTTCTCATGGCCAGGGACCAGAACCGAGACGCGTTGCTTCAGAACCTGGCGGCCGTAGTTGAGAACAAGGACAAGATACTGGTGGAGATGTCGCGGCTGCTCATCTTGGAAGGCAGGTTCCGTGCAGGTGCCAACTTTAATCTGGAGGATGCTCGTGCAAATCTGGAGGTGAGTTTCGCGAATGAGGCCAAAATCGTTTTCACAACAGAGTCGAGCAGCGGTCGTAAGCTCTTCTCCCGTCTCACTCACGGCTTCGACATGGTTGTGATAGACGAGGCGGCTCAGGCCAGTGAGGTGGCCGTGCTTCCTCCGCTTTCTCTTGGTGCTGCCCGTTGCGTCCTTATTGGGGATCCACAGCAGCTCCCAGCCACTGTCATTAGTAAGGCCGCCGGGACTTTATTATACAGCAGAAGCCTTTTCGAGAGGTTCCAGCAGGCCGGGTGCCCCACCATGCTGCTGTGTGTGCAGTACAGGATGCACCCTCATATACGTGATTTTCCTTCAAGGTACTTCTACCAAGGCCGTCTTACAGACAGCGAGAGCGTCGTTAATCTTCCGGACGAGCTTTATTACAAAGATTCTCTGCTCAGGCCCTATGTCTTTTATGATATTACCTGCGGTCGCGAATCTCACTGTAGGGGTTCTGTTTCGTTCCAGAATACACAGGAGGCACAGTTTTGTGTACGTTTGTTCGAGCACCTTCAAAGGACAGTCAAGTCAAATAGGATTGGGAAAGTGTCTGTTGGGATAATCACGTCGTACAAGCTGCAGTTGAAATGCCTGCAACGGGAGTTCAAGGATGTTTTGAATTCCGACCAAGGGAAAGACAATTATAATGTCGTGTGTGCGTGCATCCAATCATAGGGTTGGGTTTGTTGCCGATATTCGTAGGATGAATGTTGCGCTTACTCGTGCCAAGAGAGCTCTCTGGGTGAGGACTTACATTCTTTAATTTTCCTGTATAATATATATTATATTTATGCATGACTTTTTATAACACCTCAGTTAATATTACATCTATCTATATTCTGTTTGAATTATTATTTGTTTGTATCTACTTTTAGATCATGGGAAATGCAAATGCTCTAGTCCAATCTGAAGACTGGGCTGCATTGATTGCTGATGCTAAGGCAAGAAACTGTTATTTGGACATGGATTCCGTGACGAAAGACTTTGTTCCCGAGTCATCTACTTATGGTATGTTTCCAAAGATTTCTGGTGCAAGGGGGTTGAGACCTGGGCAAAGATATAGATCACATGATCAGCAATTGGAATCACGGTCTGGAACGCCATCGGAAGACTAGGAAAAGTTGAATGTAACAAGCGTCAGAAGGAACGGAAGTTATCGGACATTAAGGCTAGGACCCGAAAATCCATCGGATGATTTTGATCCATCTAGTGATAAATCTCGGGATACTTTGTAACATAATAGGAATCTAAATAATAAGCAAAATGCTGCTTTGGGTGTGTTGGGAAAGCGAGATCCATAGCGCCTGGTGATCATCTTTCCCCCTTTCGCCTTTTCGAGATGATCGGCTTATCTGCTGCTGGTCTCAAAAGGCTTTTACTTGAAGAAGCACCATCCCATGCTTGACCATATGATTTGACAGTTAAAAAAAAGATGTTAACTTGGGGACCTGTTGCTCTGTAAGTTTTAAAGTAATTTGCAGATGAGATCTCTTAGCATAGAAAAAAAANNAAAAAAAAAAAAAAAAAAAAAAAAAGCCAGAATATCTGATGAGAATTATGATTGTTGAACATAGTTCAAATACTTGAATAAATATAAATGTAGTTTCAGTACTATAGTATTTTTTTTTTTAGTGTGTGATTATATTAGTTAGGTGATGACATGACCCTCATACTTCCAACATTGTCCAAAGGGAACACAGGGAGGAGTTGTTGTATGCTTTCTTCATGCTTGTAGTTTAGGACAGATGGTTGAATTAGGTTGCGCGACAGAGCCTGTATAGTAGCAGTAGCAGTCAGTAGCATATAAATATGACGTTCAATTCAAATTGCAAAGACAAAAGACGATGATGCGACTTACAAAAATGAGGTAAGCAAGGGTGTTTGGATGCCGGATCGTCCTCAAACTTTGGAGGAATCCGGCCATACACCATCTCGCAGCTCATGTCTTCAAAATCTGCACAACATTACTTGCATGCATTCTCATAATAAATATATGCATACATATATCCCTCCCTCCCTCCCTCCCTCATGGTTGTTTTTAAATTATTTTTAATATATCGATCATACTTGGTGTCATCGTTAATGGAAGTCCGAACTCGTTGGTGAAGAAATCTTGTGTCGGTATTTTGCACATATTAACACACATTCCTACGCATCCACTGCTCTCCAGATACCTAATTCCATATATACATATATCAGCACAGCTAGCACTCAACACAATAATATCGAAACTAGCCAGAAAATACGAATACCACGACTAGTACGTACGGACCTGCATTTCTTTATAAGGACTCCACTTTTTTGCCTCACTCCGTTGATTTCCACTTCCATAACCTACTGAAGAAGACCCACATCTCATCTCATCTCATCTCAGATAATAAAAAGCACACAAGTCAAATCGTAGTTGTGTATTTCTCTAACATTGCAATATTCATTGTGATTTCGAGTACATTTTATATATTTATATAATGGTGTACTTAGTTTACCTGAGAAGGCCCAACTAACCAGTGAAAGAAAGGTACTGTTAATGCCGCATTGAACTCTGCAGCCCATTTTGTGGGTGGAAATAATTTTCTAAACTGAAAAACAATTTTCAACCATATATATTAGTTTTTGGTGGGATAAATA